GAGGACGTGGAGGAAAGCATGGCAGCCAGAGGGGTTCGTGAAGGAGATTGGATGGACAGGGAGCAGTGGCTTTTGGGTGTTGGGGATATGACACCTTAAGTTGTATAAAACCCAAATATAAAAAAAAAAAAAAAAAAAAGAATGACTAACTCCAATTTCAAAATTTTTGAGTGATGTCATTTTAGTGATATTTTTAGTTGAAAAAGTTATCTATACAGAATATGAGTAAGTTGATTCCGGAGGTGGTGATTGCAGTGTTGAAATATAGAATTGAGAATAAAGGTATAAATTTAGGTACTTATTCCTTATGAAAAATGTTTTTAGGAAAGATACTTTACTAAATATCTGTAGAAAAAAGGTTTTTTTACTGTCAACAGTTAAAAAAGTATATTTTAAATTTACCCAAATCTTCGCCTCTTCAGGGAAAAAAACTAGAGACCATATCTTTCCTCCTAATTGTCCGATCTTAAAGATTTTTTTTTTTAGGTAATTCCATAAACTTTTAAAAAACATTTTACAATATCCCAAAAAAAGTGTATACTTTTTGAGTTATTCGGAATATAATTTTACCATCCCTCGTAACTTTTTGTCCAGCTTCTTTTCGTTGAAGTATGTTATATAGATAAATTTAAAGGGTGTTGAGAAAATGACTTTAGCGAAGTTTCATTGAAATCGGTACATTTGTTAAGGCTCTACAGTCTATAGCAATGCAGATTTTTCTGCATTTTTATTGTTTTTCTCTTTTATTAACTTATCAAATTCTTTCAAAAGTTATATTTAGCATATTTTCTAATGCTTTATATAATGTATCTAATAACTTTAAATAATGTGAAATGATTAACTTTTTAAAATAAAACATATTAAAGGTACTTCAGAGGCATATATGAACATATATGACATATATGAACATTGGGCATTTAAGCCCTGTAAAGTGACATCGATGGGGATAAGACCTAATTGATATTAAAGACCACTTAATTATACAATGATGCACAGAGTATAATCAAAATCGTTAGAGCCGTTTTAGAGAAAATTGTGAAAATGTGTTTCAGCATTGATATAAAGAGGCACTTCCGGTTAGCTGATTTTAAGGAAAAAGTTGCCATCATATCTAAGGCATATACCTATCTTAAATACATAATATCAGTTTTGTAGGACTTTTTGTTTTTGAGCTAGACTGCTAACATACAGACACACAGACCATTTTTGGGGACTTGGTCATTTCGACTCAGGGTACCTCAAAACGTGTATCTCCGTTGAAAACTCAGATTCAAAAATTTTGTGGATCCCAATACTTACCCTTACTATATATTACATATATAAGTAAGTGAAAGTAAAAAGCAATCAATGAAATAGAAATATCAGTGCAAAATAGACTAGGTTTCAAGTACTTAGAGAAATAAAAATGCAACAACTGCAGTGCTAAAGGTTTTGAAATATCCACATGCTAGATAAAAACTTGGACAACTCTGTCAGTTCAATTGTCAGACTCTGTTAAAAAATTCCTAGTCCTTAACAAAAACAGCCTCTCTTCAGTACAAAAATAACAATATCAAAACATCTTCTTTAATACTAAAAACAATAGGCACACCATATTTTAAACAAATTTAATGAAGTCAAACCTCGCGCGGGCTCATTACCGCGTATGGGGAGCGTCCCATGGGTGGCGGATGTGGGAATGGTCGGTGGAAATTCCTTGGAAGTTCCTCCCGGCTAAGTCCGATGGACTCGCTGACCAACAATGAGAGGGGCCCTCCAGACTTGCTGGAGGGAGGGGACCTCCAGACTTGCTGGAGGGAGGGGCCCACCAGACTTGCTGGAGGGTGTGACGTAGGATTGAACGCCCTACTCACATATCTTTAGTTCACCAAGCACCACAAAAAGTCATGGATCTCCCTAAGGTAAAACGCTCATTATCCGGAGGTAAACTAGTCCCCCGTTCGGGTCTCCGGGTGGGGACTGCTTTAGGGGATTCATGGCGCAAGTTGAAATATAGGGATTTAAATATTGGTACGTGGAATGTAAGGAGTTTAAACACAGCAGGGGGGCTAAAATCGGTCGCGAATGAGGTAAATGGGTACAATTTGGATGTCGTGGCTCTGCAAGAGGTTCGCTGGCCAGGGGAGGGCTCGATGAGGGAAGGAAAGTACACTATTTGGTACGGAGGAAGCGGGAATCATTGTTTAGGTACCGGGTTTCTAATTAGGAGTAGATTACTATCCGCTTTGAGGGACGTACAATTCTTTAGTGATAGAATTTCGGTAGCTACATTTGAGGGACGTTGGTGTAAAATCGCATTAATAAACATACATTGCCCGACCGAAGACAGTGACGATGAAGTCAAAAGTGAATTTTACGATAAACTCGAATGGGTTTATGATAAACTACCGCGAAACTACATGAAAATAATTGTAGGTGACGCGAACGCAAAGGTAGGAAGGGAAGAAGTTTATATTCCGACGATTGGTAAAGAAAGTTTGCACGAATATAGTAATGATAATGGGATCCGTCTGATAAACTTTGCCATCTCGAAAAACCTGATAATTAAAAGTACGACGTTTAAACATAAGGATATTCATAAATATACTAGGACATCACTGGATTCGCAAACACGAAATCAAATCGATCATGTCTTGATACAACACAGCTGGCAAAGCAGTATAATCGATGTACGGTCTTATCGCGGAGCAGAATGTGGGTCGGATCATGAATTAGTAATCGCGAAACTTCGACAAAAACTTAATATAAAAAAGAGAAAAGAAAACCGTTTCGATTTTGAGAATTTTAATTTGGAAAAATTAAAAAATCCATCAATTAGAAACCAATTCGAGCTAGATGTTAAGAATAGGTTTGAAGCTTTAGAGCTTCCTGACGAGGACCACGAGGATATTGACAAGTTATGGGTAGAGATCAGGGATAATATAAAAGCGGTCGGTAACTCGTGCCTAGGAAAAAAGGAAACTAAGAATAACAAACCGTGGTTTGATGAAGATTGCTTAAACATGTGTGAAAAAAGAAAAGCAGCTAAATTAAAAGCTCTAAATAATCCTAGCGAAGACAATCTGGAATACTTTGAATCTCAAAGAAAGAAACGACAAAATTGCTCAAAAATAAAAAAAGGGAGTATCTTAAAAATAAAATAATTGAAATAGAAACTAATAGAATCGAAAATAACGTAAGAGACATGTACAAAGGTATAAACAGATCACGTAAATATGTAAGGCCCGTAACGGCTGGAATTAGGGATGATAATAACAATATTCTGACCGATCCGGTTGACATATTGAATAAGTTTAAGGACCACTTTGACAATATTTTAAATACGGGAAATTATGATCTGTGTCCTCCTTCTGAGTACCAGAGTGCTGAACCGTTAATAGAAGGACCAAGTAAAGAGGAAGTTGAAGTAGCTATCGGAAAATTAAAATCATATAAAGCAGCGGGAATCGATAATATTCCTACTGAACTAATTAAGGCATGCGGGGAAGCTGGAGTTTCTAAAATACATCGGTTGGTTGAAAAGATCTGGGTGAACGAGAAATTACCTCAAGAATGGAAAGAATCTATTCTTATTCCGATTCACAAAAAGGGTCCGAGGACAGATTGTAATAACTATCGAGGAATTTCACTCCTTCCGGTATGTTATAAAATATTCACTTTAATCTTAACCAGTCGAATCACGGAATATGCCGAGGAAATTATCGGAGACTACCAATGCGGATTTAGACGGAATCGTTTGACTATTGATCAAATATTTTCTTTACAGCAAATATTAGAGAAAAAATTGGAGTATAACGGTATTATTCACCAGCTGTATATAGATTTTAAAAAGGCTTATGATTCTATTGACCGCCAGAAACTGTATAATATTCTAATCGAGCAGGGGATTCCAAAAAAACTAGTAAATCTAGTCAGGATATGCTTGACGGAGACACTCAATAAAGTTAGAATCGGTAATAATTTGTCCGAAAAATTTGAGGTTCGTTCGGGCTTAAAACAGGGGGATTCTCTTTCGCCTGTCCTGTTCAATTTGGCATTAGAACATACCATTAGGGAGGTAATGCGAACCGAGAAAGGGTTGGATCTGGGCGGGACAACATCCGTGCTGGGCTATGCTGATGATCTGGTACTGTTAAGCGAAGACGTTGAAACTATAAAACTAAATACAACAACGTTAATGAAAGCCGGTAAAGAACTAGGACTCGAAATAAACGTGGATAAAACAAAATATATGGCTAGCTGCAAAAATGGCGATACTACTGGTGATATTGATATAGATGGTAATATGTTTGAACAGGTAGATAAATTTAGGTATCTAGGTTCTACGATAACTAGAAAAAACGAAATTGAAGAAGAGATTAAGGTTAGACTGAAGGCGGGGAATGCTTGTTATTTTTCTATGATAAAACTACTTAGTTCGCGCCTCTTGTCCCGAAACTTAAAAATTAGAATCTATAAAACAATTATCTTGCCTACAGTTCTTTATGGATGCGAAACTTGGCCGCTTACATTAAGGGATGAGCAGCGTCTTAAGGTTTTTGAAAATAAAGTATTGCGTAGAATATTCGGACCGAAGAAGGATGAGTTAACCGGAGAGTTCAGACGGTTACACAACGCCGAATTGCGTGAGCTGTATCCGGGTAATATAATTGAGGTAATTTCATCGCAGCAAATCAAATGGGCTTGTAAAGTTGTTGGGCTTAGTAACGAGAGAATTCCTAAAAGGTTAATATTTGCTGTGCCGAATGGTAAGCGTCCGAGGGGTAGACCGAAGCGAAGGTAGGAAGATTGCATTAAAGCCGATCTGAAGGGACTGGGTTTGGACGGCGAACGGTGGAGAGAGGTGTGTAACAAGCGATTGGTGGTGTCGGCATCGAACCTTCGGGTTCGCTAAGCCTTATTATTATTATTATTAATGAAGTCAAAACACCTTGCCATAAAAATAATTAAAAACACATTATTACAATTTTTAGGAGAGATTAAAAAAAATAAAACAATACCTTATGTCATGATTTTCAACTCTAAAAAATGTATTCATCGCATGAATAATATGATAAATTGGCTTTTGTCCATTATAAAATTCTAGGTCAACATGTGCAGCTGTACATAGTGCATGAACACCTTGGTCTGTCCTAAAAATTTTATAATTAATTTAAAAAATTAAATTGAAGAGAATCCATATTAACTAACCTAGAGTTTTAATTCAAACCAATATTTTTTATTATTTAGTAAAAAAATTAATTTTTTTAGCGTTTAGTGTCTCTGGGCATATGCGTCACATGGCCCAACCATCTGATCTGGTTACCTCTCACAATTTAGACGAAATTAGGCCTCGCATATATCACGCAGCTTGTTATTGGCACAAGTTCTCCATTGTTCATTTTCTTGAACTGGACCATAGATCCTGCGGAGAACTCTTCTCTCCCATTCAAATAGTCTTTTTTCTTATTTTGATATACTGAAATATATGAAGCAAAACTTCTCAACAGCAAAAGTCTGTGAGGAATCAAATAATATTAAAAATAAGGATAAAACTAAAAAAAGGTACGCAGAATAAATAAGGGCAGAATGTTACGCAAATGAAACATTCATTCGTGTTCAAAAATTCCTAATTTTTTCTGATGGCTTCCTGTAATCATTAAGCATAATATGCAACAGAAAATAGAGCTCAAATAAATTTTGGAGGGTCTGAATTCCAATTTACCCATTTTTTAGAGTGGTGTTAATGAGAACTGCCAAGGCAATTTGCCGGAGGTAATGAGAATAAAAATAAGCAGGCGAATAACCAGAATAAAAAATAGATTATAATAAAACAGATAGTAGGAAACTCCATGTCAGAAAAGATCAGTTTCCAGGCATTCCAGACTGCCCTACAAGAAACTATTGGACAGAAGGCTTACCATTATTATGCACAAACAGATCTTGATGTTTCTTGGAATATATTTGATTCAAAAACTTGTTTAAACTCAAATGTTCAAGTGCCTCAATATTTTAGGACTATCATGAAAGTGAGATGAACTATAGGAACGTCCTACCTATATCACAAATGGATATTTTTTTTTTGCATCAGTATCCTTTAAGGTACTAGACCACAAATGTCTAGCTGAAAAGTGGGTCAAGATCACATACATCACACTATAGATGGAATTCTGAAAGCTAATGTATTTAAGTTGACAACTGTATTGAAGTATGGGCCTGCTACACGTTCAAGGGACAGATCTTTTTCATCACGAAATACATAACATAATATTACTTCTAAGGGAGATATGAAGACATCGTCATTTCCACATACTTTTTGACACCCTTGGCTGTACTACAATAGAAATGTCACTCCACTTTCTTCATTAGCACAATATCTCAAGATCAGACCATAAATGGAATCCCAAGAATGGGCGAGGGTGTAGGAAAGGTGACTGAAGTGTCTGGTAAGGTCCAGACATCCACATAGAAGGATCCTTTGATGGTTAATTTAACCCTTTAGAGTGAGCAGAAGTTGAAGAAAGTAATGAAATCATTGAAGCTAAATAATGCCCTGATTTTAAGTTAAAGGGAGTTTACCGAGATGAGGTCATATATTGCAACTTAAATTGAGGGAGATTAAAAACTTTGAATTCGTGAATGCTTGGAATCCCATTTATATCGCAACCAAGGAATCTTGGCCCCCTTGACAGGCTGAGGTGAAACTTGTACAGTGGTACCCCCTTTGCTATTTTTGAAATTCTGTGTGCAGTGTTATCAACGTAATCATAGCCCAGCTGCTCTTTAGAGGTAGAACTTGTGAAGTTTCATCTTTAAGTCCTTAACATTTAAATTTATTCCTTCATTATTATTTATTATTTATTTATCATTTTGTTTTGTACTCAATTCAGCTGCAATAATATCCACCAAGCTTGGGTCTTATAAATAAATATAAATATATAATAAAATATAAATAAACAAATATTTTGACTGAATTCCTGACTATGTATTATCAAAGATAACCTTCATACAGTCAATTAGGTATCATCTATAGTAAAAAATTAAGTTTTAGGTTTCAGGTCACTTTCATGATATTTATTAAACTTACATTGTGCAATTTGTAACTCACCTACTAGCAGGATATACTACAGGATTATTTAATGGTTTCTTTCTTAATTGCAATAAAGCTGATTCTAGTAAACTTTGAATAGTTTCATTCTTAAAGAGAGGAACTCCTTTATCATATTGTTTCTGAACTCCTCTATTAAAAAAACAAAAAAGAAAATAATATGACAGAACTGATTTTTAATATGATGAAAATTTCCAACAAACAATAAATAAGCATATCATACTTAAACCTAGTGCCAATGTAAGAAAAATAAATTAGATATCTATTCATAGCATAACTTTAAGAATCAAAATTCTCAATTATCACAAATTTTTAAGCTTGCAAAGGTTATAAATAATATCACGTGAGTGAAGGTTATGCCGGCTATGGTCTATTCCAACAAAAAATCTGTCATCTCGATACGATAATACTGAACAGCCTTTTGAATGGAAGTGTTTAAAAATATATATATATTCAGCATTAACTGTCTCATTTCAAGGGTCAATAGTCAAGGCTTAGTCAGTGTGATAATAATTAAGTCAACTAGGATCTCATGCTGAGTGCACATGTCCTAGTAAAGGAACACGTGGGTTGAAAAGCTGGCTTTTACTATAAAAAATATAACATTAATTCAGACTTGAACATTTATCAACTTTTTACATTGTAGGATAGACGGTTGTCTTTGGTTGATTAACCATTTTCTAGTATTTAAAGATATATCTCAACAGATAATAGATTTTTTAACAAAGGAAGTTACAGGAAAACTAAAAAAAATATCGTTTAAGTCAAACTCATTTTGTAGTTATAATAATATAAAAATGAATGCAGAAGATGTATCCTTAAAGATGCCTGGTTCAGAATCGAAGCAATTTTTAAATCACTCAAGGAATTGTGTGCCCTGTTACAGCGCTGTCAATTTTAAGAATTTAATTATTTATATGTATAGCCATCCATAATGCAGGCGGTCGAAACGTAGGCATCTAATAAGTGTATTTTAACTTCATTGACTTATATACAACGTAATATAATGTATAAATATACATTAAACTTAATATGCAACTACAGTCAACAGTACCACAACAAAAAATATTATCTGGTAAAGAAATCGACATTTTACGTACACATAATATTATGAAAAGGCACTTATAACTATTTTAATGAGTATAGAAAGGAAAATAATAAATCTTTTTTAACTTTAGATGTAATGAGTTCTAGAATATTAGTTTTTATTCTTTATTACACTATTTTGCTATATTGTTTTATGTTTAATTTCCATAAAATATTGAAGTGTTCCTTATTTATAAACACCTTAGAAATTAGAAAAATCTAGTAGTGCCAACTTTCCTAGAAACTAATGTTCTATTGACAACTGATAGCATAGTTTCTTTTTTATACTACTTTTAGAAATCGTAAAGAAGCTGAAGAAAGTCAAGCATGTTAGTCACATGTCCATTGTTCATCCTAACAGCTTGGTTTGTTTCCCATCATATATTGAAGTATTTCTTAATTATAAACAAATTAGAAATTGGAAAAATCTAATAGTGTCAACTTTCCTAGAAACTAGACAACTGATAACACAGTTTCTTTTTTATGCTATTTTCAGAAATCGTAAAGAATTTTACATAAACCCAAGTCTGTTAGAGACATGTTCATTGTTTATCCTATTAGCCTTATAATTGTAATACTTATTTACTTTTATGATGAACAATAAAAATTTGATAAACCAATAAAGAAGATTAAATGAACTTATCAGCAGGAAACAATGTAGTTTGTATATATGCTATAGTAACAATTGCTATTAATTGATTGTACAAGTATTTTTTTTTCAAATATTCACTTTCAGGTATTTAATGTTAGTCTTACAGCATAACATGACATTAAATTAGTTTGAACGTTTATTAACTTAAAAAGCTACTCTTCTTATTTTTAAAAAATTAGATTTGAGTATTGCTCTTTGTGGAGAAATTAGATGCTTTAATATAATTCTAAATTGAAATAATTTCTTTTTCACGATTTTGAAACCCTTATTCATCCATAAGTAATTAAACATTTTGAAGTTCACTTCATGTAAAAGCAACGACTTAAAAATCTACACCTTTAGAAGCATTCTGTTGGTTAAGTGATTAAATATAGGATTAAAAGTTGGCGCATGTGTAAATGAATACAGGATCGAAAATCAGTTACTCCTAATCCTTTGATTAAGATTGATTTTTATTATAGAAATTTGAATTAATATTTTTTATACAATAAATTGTCTTACTTTAATAACAAAGATTACTCTCAATATTTCTAAACGATATTATAATTTTGTTAAATAGTCCCTGCAATTTTATTTTTAGCGATAAATGTCTGTTCTCGAATAATCTTAAATGTCATAAAAATAAAATATTCATCAATATAGAAATAATTAATCGAACCACCTATTGTTTTGCAAGTATTTTGATGGACATAATTCTTTTCATTATTAATAAATAAGTTCCTCAAAATAATTTAGTGATCAAGGTTAAACAACAGAGGTCTTCTGATATGGCCTGAATTTAACTGAAGAATTGATTGTATCCATAATAAATATTATCCAGTTCTATATAATAATAATTTAAAAATAAAAAGAGGGAATCAACAATAAAATATCATAATCTACGATATGCATAAAAAAGTATTGAGAAGATGATTTGAAAACAATGTATTTGTTAATTTAAATTTAAATGATATCCCTAGTAACATTCAATTTCGGACATGTCTGACCTCTCTAATAAAAGGCTAATTCAGAACCGCTCCAGATGTAACGGCAATAGGTGGGAGGGCAATAGCAGCCAGAGGGCATGCGTGCGCAGGGTAGACGATCGATGGTTAGTCAGTATTGGTACGTTCTGTGAATAGAGTAGTGGATAGAACGCTTCGTGGCATTCTTTACGCGTGTGGACTCTTTCGTCGTATTTTCCACCTTTTCTACATGCCGGATAATAGTTGAAGAATTTAATTAAGATCTAACTGCAGTGAGTGCGTGGAATTTGTGTCATTGCGGATTGAGGTTGGTTTGTTTATCATCTGTACCTTGAAGCCCATTGTTCTATCTAGTGGTATTTTACAATAGTTTTCTTTTGTTTTCAGTGTGGATATTGTTTACTCGCTACCATGACAACCATAAAGCGTTGTTTTGATAACTGGAAGCCACAAGTTTCTTATCAAAATGGATTTCTTTCAAGTTGCGCAGGCGCCGACCGCCAAATTTAGTAATATCGGCTATTAAGATTAAATATGATATTAATATTTTCCATTTTTTATTGCTCAAAATTGACTACATAACTGTATCTAACGAATCATAAACTCTTCTACCAGATCTTTAGAGTTTAAGAGTTTATGGGTCACTACTTGACTAGTGTTTTGAAAAACTAAGCGCCATACTTTTTTTATTTTAATTAAATCCTCTAAAGTGTATTATTCACGCTAGGTTTAATTTATTTGGCTGTTAATTTTAAATGATAACTCAAAAACTAATTATTTCCTCATTTTTATGAAGAGAGTACTTTTTTATAATTTGTTTTTATCCTAAGTATCAACAAAGTACCATGTCAGGGTTTGTTAAGTCCATTCACTTTGTTTTGGTACTTTGATAAGGTTGGGTTATGTAGTCTTATCACTTATACATTACTGTTTGGAAAAAGAAATATATCAATTTCTAATGGATTTTGTTACTGAAAATAATTAATAAGATGGAAAATTCATTTAATGGCACTATTAATGTTTGAAGCATTGATTGCTATATGTGGTATGTTCAGATCTGGTTGAGGAAGGTTCTATTTATTTATTTTGAATGATTTATTGAATTTGATGTTGTTTTTTAATGAAATAATGATCATTTTAAATTCTAAAGCTATTTTGTTTTAAACATAATATTTTTATACTCTCATATTGGAGCTTTTGTGAACTATTTCTACTTGTATAGACAGTTAGTGAATTGTGGTTAATTATTTGGTATTAAATTAGTTTAAAATGACTACTAACATGTACAGGGTTGGTGATTATGTTTACTTTGAGTCACTTTCCCCAAATCCTTACCAAATAAGAAGGATTGAAGAACTTAGTAAAATGCCTAATGGCAGTGTGGAAGTTAAAGTAACCTGCTTTTTTAGAAGAAGAGATCTACCAGAACAGTTAATCACTGTTGCTGATAAGTATGAAACAGCATTGACATTAGATGTAGATGAAGATGTCTATTTAACTGCTAAGCAAAAACATCAGTTGAAACATAGAGAATTATTTTTTACTCGACAAATGGAAACGCTTCCAGCCACTCACATTCGAGGAAAGTGCTCAGTTACATTTCTCAATGAGACTGAGTCTCTTCTGGATTACTTGAACAACGATGACAGCTTTTTCTATTTCTTTGTCTATGATCCTCTTCAGAAAACACTTCTTGCTGACAGGGGAGAAATTCGTGTTGGAAGTAAATATCAAGCTGAAATACCTCCTCCTATTAAAGGTATTGATTGTAGATTACAAGAGAATTTAGAAACATTGTTATGGACCCCAAATCATGACCTTACTGATGAACATATCGATAAATTTTTGGTAGTGACAAGATCAATTGGAACATTTGCTAGAGCATTAGATTGCTCCAGTTCAATTAAACAACCTAGTCTGCATATGACTGCTGCCGCTGCATCAAGAGATATTACTTTGTTTCATGCAATGGATACATTACACAAACATAACTATGATATTTCGGATGCTGCTAGTTCCTTGGTTCCTTCTTCAGGACCTACATTGTGTCGAGATGAACTTGAAGAATGGACTGCTGCTGAAACTAATTTGTTTGAGCAAGCTATGGTAAAATACAAAAAGAATTTTAAAAGTATCAGAAATGATTTTCTTCCATGGAAATCATTAAAAAACATTGTAGAATATTACTACATGTGGAAAACTACTGACAGATATGTTCAACAAAAAAGAGCAAAAGCTCTCGAATCTGAATCTAAATTGAAACAAGTTTATATCCCAAATTATGACAAGGCAAACACTACTTCCTGGAATAATAATTGTGTTTCTGAAATAACAAATGGAAAACATTGTGAATCATGTAATTCTATGAAATCGTCTCAGTGGTATTCTTGGGGCCCTTCACAAATGCAGTGTAAACTATGTCATGAGTGTTGGTGCTATTGGAAGAAATACGGAGGACTTAAAATTCCAAACAAATCTATGGATAACGATGAACCAAAAACACCTGATGAAGAGCAAGCTACTTCCCGTAAGCTTAACAAGTGCAATGTAATGGGTTGTAGTAAAGAATTTAAAGGTAAAAATAATCTTATTCGACATTATAACATGGCTCATGCCTGTGATTTAAGGCCTGGTTCTCGAAGGCCAATCATGAAGACACGTACATCATTTTATTTATCCACTAATCTTCTTCAAAAACTTTCAAGAAGGTTATGTCAAAATTTGGCCAGTCCCCAGCATGTTGCGCGGCGTCCTTTTTGGGCAATAAATATTGATGCTATTAAACAGGCATGGCAAAAAGACATTGTTTCAAAAAGTATGTTTGAGCTCCAAAAATTACTGCTTTTAAAAAGGAAAAAACGAGACTCCATAATTAACACTGTATCAAGAGTTTGGAACTTGCATAACCATAAGTTAACGTCGATAAATGAAAGAAATAAATATCCGAGACTTGACAGAAAGACTTATGAAAGAAAAACTAATGATAGCTTATTTCATGAAGTTAGTAACAATCCCCATATCGAAAAATTTCCGGAAGTTGGAACAAAAAGAAAACTTTCACAAGAACCCAGTAGAATAGATAATAAACCATATGAGGATATACCTAACAAAAAAATACCAAGAAATAATATACAGGAGGATTTAATTCGTCCTCAAATCCCTTTACAACAATTTAATGGAAAAAGCAGAGTTGCTGCAGTCGCAAGGAAAAAAGTCGTCTCCTTAACAGGTGGTTCAGATGATATTTACTTCAAGTCTTCCGTTATCACCAGGCATTTGAGACACAGATACAGTGCTGGGATTCTACGAAGGGCTGCCAGACGACCTTGGAAGGAATTTATTGTGAAGAATGTAGATGAAACTGTGGTTATTTTGGATTAAACCAATAAACAGTTACCAAGTTTGTTGTAAATAACTTTTTGTTGTCTATCAGTATTTATCGGAGTTGCTGGATTTCTTCGAGGTATTTAAGCAATATGAAATTTTAGTTCCATGACATCTTTTTGTTGACAACTTATGTAGATAGTTGTGTATTTACTTTAATTATACCAGTTGTAATATAATTTCACAAAACTGGTCTCTGTTTATCTATTTGTCGTAATATTTATATAGTAACACATTAAGTATGTATGCTTTTGGTGTAATAGGCCAGTAATTATTACATCTTTGTGATATAAGTTTCATGTGCATTAGTGATTGTGTATCAAAATTAGAAATCATACTAAATTGATTTTCAGTGATTGGTTCATATTTTTTACTGGCTTCAGATAATTTTGTACTTAGATAATATTAACTGTAATCTGAAGCAGTTGTGATTTCTTCAATTTATATTAGAGCAATGTCCATATTTGCAAAAAAATGTGTTTTATTTAAATGGAACTATGTAAATGTTTACTATTGTGAGCGTGATTCTCTAAAATATAACATAAAGTATTAAAGATTTTTCTAAGAAGTGATATTTTTTTGTGAATTTTGTTTTCATAAGTCTCAATTGTGTATATTTTTTATGTATATAAATAATATATTGTTTTTGTGAAATTTAATGGAAGATACTAGTTTGAAGTTCTGAATTTAGTTTTCTTAAATGATTTTCATTTGAAATTAAAAACCAATTAAGTTTTACTAATTAATTTCATATTTATTGCACAAATTGGTTTTAATATGTTGTATATAATCTTAGAAAGACTGTAATTTGACTGTTTTGAAACATTCAATCTCCTTACTTTTGTCCATGTATAGGTAGTAAATTTCTGAAGTTATTTTGATTAATGTTATGGATGATAACACTGTTCTATTATTAGTTATTTATTTATCAAAATCAGTATTCCTACATTTATTTGTACATATGGAATATCTATACAGTGTATCAAATGCAATTGGTAAAGTTACTCATCTTATGATTTAAATGATCATCACGGAGTTTTGTAGTTTTGAAATTTTATTCCAAAGTAGCAACTGAGATATTTTAGAAATGAGGAAGAGCTCATGTTGTTAACTTTTGTTATCATCCGTTATCCTTAGAGTTTGTTTAAGCAATTAATAAAAAAAAATATTGTCATTCAAATGTAACGTTCTCAACTTATAATATTCTCTGGAGGCTATATTTTGTCTAGAATGCTACTATAATTAATAGGTCTGTTGTAATAAACATTATTTATCTTTCCATCAATCTTCTGTTTACTAAGGCTCAAATGGCCTGTTGGTATTTCAATCATTAATCTCTACTTTTTCCTTTTTTAAAGAGTATCCATTTGGGTCTATTATTAATTTACTAGGCCTTCTTTCTCTTTCCATTCCTTGTCTATCCCTGTACAGGCCTAATCATGAAATTTCTTTATATCAAAGCTTTTTTGAGACGGCTAAGGAAGTTGCCATCTAAAATTGGAAAGTCAGTACTTTTCAAAAGTTTCAGTACTACATAACTCCAATAATTAAATTATTTTATTCATCACAAATGGTTATTATGTCCAACTGTTATGTTTAGAATATTTAATTCTCCAATTGCATTAATCGAGATTATTCCATTTATGTTGTACATATAATACTAAATGATAAATAATAATGCAGGTTTTTTTTTTAAAAAAAAGAAAGCATGTTTTTAGAAAATGATCTCAAGGGTAAAATTGCAGCTATGCCGCGTAGCATTACTATGCAGCCCTAGTCAATGGAACACAGGCTTTTTCAAATTGAATGCTTGGCCATGTTCAGACTATTTAAATAAAATGGTTGATCAGCGTATTAATAAATAATGATATTGTATATTGTTGAAGTTTTCATCAGTCAAAATAAGACAGTTCTTGTACTTAATTGTTAATAATACCAGCATTGTTTTTTTATTCTGGTTTAGAGTAATTTTTATATTTGTGGGTCACTTATGAGCAATGAATTGTAATTTTTGCAATGTTAAGGCTTTGTAAATATCTATAAATTAGTATGCAATGGGATAAGATCTACATTTCAAAACTATTATATAATTTTTTGTTGACTGATAAGTTTGTGTTTAAAGGTATTTAATTTTTGTTTATGTATCCGTGTTTGTAGTTTCCTAGATTTCCTAGAAATGTTTTATAACTATATTGTACACATATATATTTTTATTTTCATGTTTCAAGTTACACTCATTATTGGTTTATCTACATAATTTCATTTGAGTTTGAAATATCAAATGTACATTTATACATTCGACAGTTTAGATAAGCTATTTATTATCAATGACTTATTTGCTATTAAACCTTTGATAAATTATTATTCTTTATAAGGACCATTTAATAATCAGTTCAAAACCCTCTTTTTATTTGTTTCAATCAGCATACTGATCATATTCATTATATTTTATCATCTCTCTTGGTCCATGGGTTTAATGTCATCTAAATTTGTGTTTCTCCATGATTTCTTTTAATGGCTTCAAGTTGTGTAACCTCTTATGATTTTCTTATTCAGTTATGTCAGTTTTGTTGCTTTTTAATGTTCAGAATTTGCTTGAAGAAATCAAGGAGGAAACAATTTTGATGTATTGTGCTTATGTTCTGATAGAAACTAAGTCATTGAACATTAACGTATGTTGATCATAGAAAGACATTTTTTTTTTTCATTTTAATGTCCCAGGTTTTTTTTCTGATAAATTATATCCATCCCAAAAAATACAACCAATTAGTGTAGTAACTGAGACATATGTTATAGATTTGAATTTTTTATGAAGAAAAAACAGTAATTGTAATATGAATGTATTGTGAGTTCTGTCTTTGTGTATATAGTTAATCATGAAGGTTTTCCGTCTTATGTTTTAATGCTGTTTCAAACTTGAAGATAGTGTTAAGAAAATTAAAAATAAATTTTCATTTACAATAGTGAAGTTTTCAATAGATAACTTATTGTACTCATCATTCTTGTTTTATGTATGTTTTCAATGAAATATGTGATAAAATCTTCCAAGGTCCCTAGGTTTGTGTATTTTAAAATGTAAATATCATTTTAACTAGAATATGTTATATTTTTATATAAAAAATAAAGTATATTTTCATTTTTTTTATATTTATAATTTTTTAAAACCTGTGACTCATAATAATACGACAACATAAGCCTTATATGTATGTGTGAATAACATGAAGTATTCATAATAAAAATTATTTTAATTTTCTGTGCTATTATATTCTTATTGTAAAAGCTAATGTATGTCAGAAAATTATTATTTTTAAAACTTCTTTCTCTTACTCCTAATGTCTCACAGCGTAGAATACAAGCCTCAATCCATTTCCATCACTTAGTCCTGTTTCTAGCCATTTGGCACATTCACATCTTTTCCTCCACAATCCTTCCTACTACTCTCTGTAGTCTTACTGGTCTTTGCCATTATGGTCTAGCCTCCATATATAACACTTGTAGGTATCAGACATTCTGCACTCGTGTCCAAACCACCGAATCTGGCATTCTTCTATTTTGGCCTTGACTGAAACTATATCCAGTTCATCTTGAATAGCTTCGTTTTGAATAGTCTCTTGATTCTTCTGAGGAAAATCATCTCTGCTTCATGTAGTAACATAGGCAAGAATATTATTTTAAATTATCACTAGATTAGTGTTTCTACTGACATTTTTTTTTGTCATCAATCTGGTAGACTTCATTTGTTTTATTAACTATTGGAGATTTCTTGGTCAATGTGTCTGTCTCTACTTATAAGGGTGCCCAAATCTTGGCTTGAATCCACACTTGCCCCATTACAGATGATGTCAGGTCTTCCTCATTTCTTCCAACCTGCATCACTTTGTTCTTTTCTGCATTGATTTCCGTCCCTTTTCGAGGTAGTTCCTCTCTCCATTCTACCACTGTATTTTGTAAGTTTTTCTTCAAATGTGTAATAAGAACGAAATATTCTGCAAAGATGAAAGCTTGTGCCAAAATTTGGATGAGGTTTCTGTAATCGGCCGGGGTGTTCTCTTGCATATCTTGAGTATTTCATCTAGGAATGCTATAAATAGAAGGGGACTTAGGCTGTCACCTTGTTCCACTCCTTTAGGTTCTTGGTATGCTGATTTTATTGCATCCATTAGATTAGGAGGAATCTTCTTTATATTTTGTGCATCCCAAATCTGCACAATACATAATTAAATGATGCTGCAAAAAAGACAAGATATACATTCTTCTATCGGTTCCAAGCCTTTTCCACTATTATTTTTAATAAAAATATGTTGTCCATGGTCTGTCTTTTGGGACGGAAAGCAGCTTGTTATTGTTGCAAATCATCTTTGATTATTTTGCTGAGTCTTCTTCCTAATATCCTAGTGCTGGTGTAGAGTTTATATACTAATCTTGAGAGGCATATGGGCCAGTAGTTTTCACATTGGCACTGATTCTCTTTTTTATGTCCCTTATGATTATTTTCTTTAGACTTTCCAAAGTCTTCACAGGATTTGGCGTTGGCATTTCTTACTACCATTTCCGCTTACTTTATACATCTTATTGTACTCTTCTCTATCAGAAAGGTTTCTCGTTTGTATATATTTCCTCCAGGCATTCTTCTTTCCTCTTCTTTAACCTCGGTCTACCTACTTGTCTTCTTTTTTTGTGTAGTCCACTCATCTTTTCTTCACAAACCTCTCGTGCAGTTTCAAATGTGACGATTTTCAGCCACATCTAGTATTCATCTAGAATATATTCTGTAGAGATATTAACCAGCTTATCTCATAGGAAGGATCTCTCTATATTGGTTTTTATTTTTATCATTTTGTAACATGTTGACCTGGTTCCTTTTGTATCTCTTTACTGTTGGTTTTCTTCCAATTACTATTTTTGTATCCTAATCTATGGTGGGTGCTGCTCCTCATATCATTTTAATGTCTCTAAAGTACCTTTGCAGTACATGCTTGTATATAAAATAGTCAATGATAGTTGTAACATTTTTGCCCTATCCTAAAAATGTCACCTTATGGATATTTTTGTGATTGAACCAGGAGTTGCCTATTATTAAGTTATTATCCATAAAAAATCTATTAATCTTGGCTAATTATTATTTAGGGCCATTTCTCCACCATATAGTCCTATTTTACAGTTAGTCGCATTACTATTTTTATCTCTTCTTGCATTCAGGTCCAACTTTTTTTTTTTGTAACTAATATTTTAATTTAATTTTAAGCAGTCAGTTCAGGATTTTTAAGAATGGTGTCAAGTACGTAATATGATTAAATTATTTTATTTATTAAACTATCATCAAAACTCATTTTTAAGCAGTTAGGAGAGATTCAATTTGTAACCATGATGATTTTCAATTTCCGTCCTCTGGTTGAATTTACAATTATCAAAATATATTGAGAATTATTTTGTAATTAGCAGGATTTTGTCAGAATTAGATTCTTATATATCCAAACATGGATTTAGGATACCTAGGATGTTTTTTTCATTCATTAAAACAATTATAGACTTTAAAAAAAAAAAAATTAAATGATGGTGAGAGCTCTCAGTGCTGTACTGCCTTTTGGACCGACTGGGCCTTTTTCTTGAAACTAGAGAATAGTCACAGTGTTCTAAACTGCTCAAAAATTAATAAGGGTATTGTTAGTTATGTATAGCTTACTTTCCTTAGAATTTTTGTTTTATTCTTATTATAAAACACTTTGAAAATTAATACAAATAAAATTGTATTTTACCTCAGGAAATTTTACAAAAGGTTCTAAAAAAATAATGAAATAAAAAGTTTTTTTAGTCTTGTTTTTATGATTGTGAATTGTAAGAACTTTATAAAATTTAATAATTTGTATAGTAGCCTCTGTTATGCATTATCTCTCTGCACCTATTGGGCATACTGTTTACACTGTTACTATTGTCCTTGATTTCACAAGGAATTACATATCATAAACATGGCAATACTGCTATCAGTTGCTGAAGGTTAAAAAGCTGCAGATAGTGGTCAAAAAGGCTTCTCAGTAGTGCATTCCACATGTGCTCAATGTGATTGAGGTCTGGAGACAACAAGAGGCAGATGTTCAAGACATTGATGAACAACTTTTCTCCTATGAGGTAGTGTATTGTCGTCAAGAAAATGGAAATCTGTACTAATTATGGCCCTGGTTTAAGGAATTTACTCCTCTATAATTCTTAAAAATAACAAACTGCAATCACATCACCTTCTACAATATGGAGAAGAGTCTGTCATCTTGAATAGATGACAGCCCATACTATCATACTCCCTCTGCTAGACTGCATTGAAGGAAGCACAAATTGGTAGTGTATCCATCCTCTGTTCTCGGAAGACTGTTCGCTAATGACTATGATCTCTGTAAATACAGAAATACGAGATCTGTAAACATAACAGTTTCCGACATTAAGTATCCTAATCCCTACACATTTCATCACAAAATTCTCCCTCTCTTTGCTCCGATGTTTTTCTCAATCCATTACTTCATCAAACGCTTATATTATCTACCTAATCCAACTGAATTTGTAATCATTTTATTCTATTAGAAATCATTGGATAAATAATAACAATAGTTGTGTTATTTGTCAAACTGTATATTAGTTTTTATTTCAATACAATTTTATTAAATTATGCTTTAACCCTATTAGTGTTATGTCTTTCTAGTGTTGTAGATCATTTATTCTATAAGCTGATTAAGATCCATAAAACTAAACTTAAATGTTATGAAGTACCCATGGTGTAGGCTGGTTAAATAATAAACCATCTTAATACCACTTCTTAAATTTATCTCTTCTTCTGAACCTTCATTGTAAAGTGGAGTTTGCAGGCTTCTGCTCTTTACATGTAATTTATTTATTTTAATCTTTATTATTATAAAAAGGTGCATTTCCACCAAAAGTTCATTAACCCAACTATTTGCAACAAAGGGTTTATCATATTGTGTTTAGCAGTCAAACAGGTGCTTTTGATGTACAAGTATTACATATTGGAACATAGACATATTTACAAATTTGCAAATGCACAAGGGTTATGTTTCCATTAGCCAGGTTTTCGCCCCTATTTGCATTCATTGACAAATATTTTGTATGCAGTCAAACAGGTGCTTTTGATGTACAAGTATTACATATTGGAACATAGACATATTTACAAATTTGCAACTGCACAAGGGTTATGTTTCCATTAGCCAGGTTTTCGCCCCTATTTGCATTCATTGACAAATATTTTGTATGCAGTCAAACAGGTGCTTTTGATGTACAAGTATTACATATTGGAACATAGACATATTTACAAATTTGCAACTGCACAAGGGTTATGTTTCCATTAGCCAGGTTTTCGCCCCTATTTGCATTCATTGACAAATATTTTGTATGCAGTCAAACAGGTGCTTTTGATGTACAAGTATTACATATTGGAACATAGACATATTTACAAATTTGCAACTGCACAAGGGTTATGTTTCCATTAGCCAGGTTTTCGTCCCTATTTGCATTCATTGACAAATATTTTGTTTGCATGGTGGAAACACACCTTTTGATTATACTGAAGCAAACTTATTTTTTCTCAAATCTTACAGCACTGTTTAAAACTATTTTTCTATTCTTAAACATGTTTTCTGTTTATACAAAAGCGAAATGAAGAGTAAAATATATATACTTCTATATATTTTTATTTAAGGTGAAAATTTAATCCTTAATAAAATGTTTGGGCAATATTTACTCACCATTTCTTTATTTTTTCTTCTCTATACTGGCAATTTTTCGGCTTATACCGCCATTTTAAAGCGATCTGCAATGATTAAAATAATGATATTCATTATGTTGGACACAGCATATTAAAATAATGATACTTATGATGAGTACATAACATATGAGTATCATTGTTTTGATAAGCTGAAACATTGCGAGTGAAGAAAAGAACTAATAAAGAAATGATGAAATACATAAAACCAAAACTTTTTATTACAAAAAGTATATATCCATATTTTATATGTGATCCATTTATTGGAAAGCAGAATAGAAAAAAAATGAGTTCATGATATAAAGTTCAAACATTTAGTATAGTGTATCTACTATACTATCAAAGTGGATTCTAAGAATTCATGTATCAATGTATCAATAATTGTAATATCAACTCAATGAAGTTAAAACTAATATATTAATGGCATTATATTCTTACAATTTTTCGGCCCAGTGCTCAAAATTGTGATTCATGGCAAAAATTCTGAAGAGTATAATGTTCCATTTTTGGGTAAATTTAATTTATTTATATGAGGATTATATAAACCAATTATTTTCACTGGATAATTATTTTTAGAACGCTGATTCATAACTTTGTTACTAGATGTTACAGTGATGACTTCATCTTTAGGTTGAAGTTTTCCAATCTCATTTTCATTTGCTTTAGGTTTTTCCCTTGATCGAAATATAAAAAAATAAAATATCTCTACAAAGCTTAGCAGACTTGCTCCAACAAATAAACCTGCTGCACCTCCCATTGATACTGAAACAACAAATATTTATTTTCATTAAATTGTTATTTAATTCCATTAAAGGCATCGATAAAAAAATATAAGAGCCATGGTTATATTTTATTAAATAATGTTTTTAATATAATTTATTGAATAACCAATATATCATCATGTATAAATTTACGTGAATAATGTTTTAATATGTGATTAGTAAACAAAGTTGTTAATGAGAATAACATGCTTAAGTTACTATTAATATTTTTATTCATGTAAATTTTATAATCTGCAACAAGGTCCTTTTTTTTTTTTAATCTGACAAAAGGATGCACCGCTGCCTCATTGAGGCCTATTGTGCATTGGCCTAAACTCTGTTAAAACAGCCCAGATGCTTTTGCAAACATGTGAGATCTATTAATTCACAGAGCTTAGGGTCAGTGAAAATACTGCAGTCTGGCCAAAAAATCACATCTGCATATAATGTGAATCTCAATTAAGCCAAAGTTAAAAAGACGCTTATTGAGTCGATAGTGATTAGTGTACAGTCCTATTAACAAGGTCCTTAGGAATTTCTATAAAGCAACTTTTAATATAATCACCACCAATAAAAAAAAATTTTATGCTTGAAATATTTACGTATTCAGTTGATTTCAACCTCCTATCAAATTTATTGATTGTTCAGGGAATCAATTATCCATAATTTTGAGCTATTAAAATTTTTTTCTTAGTTACTAAATTATTTAATAAAAAAAATGAACATGAAATGAAAAATAATTTTATTCTGGGACTGAGGTCCACTTAGAATAATAGTAGAGTTCAAAACATGGTGTCCTTTACAATAGATAGTATGGAATTAGATGAAATTTTATTTCTAATTCTCATTCAGCTTACATGCTTCAGAGCCCTCTGAAGAAAAACAGACTGTTTTTGATAAACTTTAAGGATTTAATATGTAGGGGTCATTCTCAAATAAAATGTTAATATTTTGTATTGGGTCTAAGGAAATCAGAAAAATAAAATTGTTGCAATCTTACCTAACTGTCCACAAACTTGTATAAGTGCCAGGGAAGGCTCAGTCGAATTATTATGTGTTTGACATTTCATTGAATTTGTATGAATTTTTGAAAATACTGAAACTTCATGTTTCAGTTTATGAGCATCAAGCACTGAATATAATTTTTTCCCTAATACTCCTTAGATTTTCTCTCTATAAATGTGTACTATTTATAGCCCTAGTGATGTACACTATTAACCACAAAACAAAAACATTTTAACTTTCATTTGTAATTCTCCATTATTTATTATCTTATTAGCATTACTTTTGAAAATAAAACATGATAATCTTCATGTTAAGTTTTTAACGTTTATATCTTAATTTAATCCATGGGTCTCAAACTATGGCTGCATCCACTGCTATGGCTGCACCCACAAGTACATCCGATCCTATCTGTAAAAGTTTCTTTGATTATATCATAAAATTTTAAAGACTGTATATAAAAATATGCAATTTAGTAAATAACATAAGAAGAGGTTACTACATCTATTGCATGATTTTTCCTCTTAGAAAGTTCATTTCACAACTGAAGTATTTAGAACAAGATTTTTTTTTCATCACAAACCATGGCCCGTGAACTTATGGAGGTCTCAGCATGACCTGCGGGCCAAAAGATTTGTTGTCCTGTGATTTAACCTTTTTTGTAAACAATTTACTGTAAATATTATTCAGTTCCAAGCTTGCTGTCATTATTTTTGTTTTTTTATGGCCCTCTTGAATTTTCAACCTGGAAATTTTGTAAAAAACAAAAAGAGGCTTAAATTTATTAGAATGTGTTATGGACAGTGAGGTTAGTGAATTTCTAAAGAAGAAAATTGTTTTTTAAATTTATTTTTTAAAATAAATCATAACATAGAATTTCTATTGCATTGAAAGAAGAAAAGAAAATACTGTTATATTGACTATATAACTAAAAATACAGAACAGAGCTAAGTAGAGACTTAAGACATCTGTAGCAATTAATTGAGAGCTGTGAGCAACACCAAGAATTTAGAGAAAATTTCTTCCACAGCATAACTCTCTGTAGGCAGTCAACAAATTTAATCTATAGAATGGCAATAGCAGGTATTAAAAAAAAAAAAAAGACCTGTACTACAATCATTGAAGAGTGTTGGGTTCAGTACTATTTAGGGAAAGTACTGTTTCAAGACCAACGGTTGTGCAAGGAGGGGATCGGGCCAGGATCACGCTCAACTGCCAGGTTTTCCCCCTTAATAAATAAATTAATTAAGTATACCCACTTTGTTGAGGCTGGGTGTGTCGCAGGAGGGTCTCCCTACCCCATTTTTATCCCATGACCAATGAAACAGAATAAATAATAATTTTTCTGCCATGAGCCGGGATTTGAACCTGAGACCTCGAATATTGGAAGCTTAGTGCCCTACTACTGAGCTACTCCGCTCCCTAGGTATTAATAAATAAACCAATATCAATAATAAACCAGGTTTTAGAGAAAAGCACAATAAAATTGTGCGCCTACTCAACTGTTGAGTTGCTAATTTACTCAGTATACTAATCAGTCATAATCAACACCACTTGTTGATTATGACAAGTGGACACATAAAATGAAGTATTACAGGACCATCATCCAACATACCGAATGTTATAATTCATTCATCCACTGTTACAACTTTCTTCTCAATTTCTTCCCTCTCTCTTTTGTCCGCTAAGTCCACAACAAAGCACCCAGAATTAATACAGATGGTGGTGTAGGATTCCTAATGAGTCTAAATCTAAAATAATGAATTCTGGCATACTCTGCAGATGGTTCCTTTCCACACCCAGTTAAAAAAATCAGCAGTTGAAACTTGAATCGCTCCACTATTCCTGAACCATAGTCCTCGAACTGAATATTCTCTCTCGCCAAACTCCTCTCTATATTTCTGTAGGAGGTATAATATGCATTTTTTATTATTTACTCTTTTTTTTTTTTTTTGTACTTTGAGATCCTGATCCTCATTGTTTGTTTCAAATCTAATAGCAGGATCAACAATCAGAGCCTCTTTTCCTTTTGCATTAAAGGCTTAGATATCTATGAATCTCGCTGATCCTTCCGTATCAAGGACACTTCCAGAAAGCATTTTTACTATTTTGTCTACTGGAATTCGGCAATTCGATGCTTTACATTATTTTGGCTGTGGATGACAAGGAGCATGTTATTTGGACATTTGTCCAGTACATAAGCTGGGATTAATGACTCTTGGCAATATTTGCGGCAGAGGGGTCCAACATCTCCATTCTCCTAGCTTCCGGTCCCCGTAACTCCACCAAGAGGAACATAGTTGATATAACTGACCATATTTGACCAATAATAACTGACATTTTCCTTATCCCTTATTTTCGGTGTTCCAACGTGGGATACCTCTTCGGGTTAGAGCTGAGCTCCACATCTCTCTATCTTCCCAGTCTCCCTTCTGTAGATTCAGCTGGCCATCTCCTCTCGTACTCCTTCCATCCACGTGATTCTGGGTCAGCTGACATTCGCAATTTTTTATTTTTTATTTTGTGGATTAATTGAATTATGTTTTACATTAAAGTTTTAACGATTATAACAAGATATTTTCTAAAACAATAATGTTTAATGTTTCGATTTATTTATTTATTTTTTTTTGCATAAACTGTTTCTTGACCTTTTCCTGAAATAATTTCTCAAGATCATATCTGAAATAATCAAGTAAAAGCTAAATTAATGTGGAATATAATGCTATCATACTTATATTTTAAAAATTAGAGAAGCCTTCTATTTTTATATCATTTTTATCAGAATATTGTTTTGGTCTCCCTCTTCCAAAAATCTTAAGAGCTAAATGTGTGAGGTTATTATTCAGTAAAATTGTTGAATTTCTGGACAGAATTCTATGTTTTTTCAATTCAATACTAAAATACATTTGTTTAGAATGAAAGAGATTAAAAATAAAATAAAGAAATATTGAAATGCATTATTTCTGTAGTAAATGAGGGGTTGAGAAACAAATCTAAAAATAATTGCTTAAGTCTTTTTTATACTCACCAACTAAGTCTAGGCGTCCTCTTACTACATTTCTTTTATATCTTTCACTTGGTAATCTATCTAAGTTTATTTCCATGTTAGACTGGTTTTCAGCAATGCTATTTAAAAAAAAAAAAATAATTTCAAAACATCTTGCTAAAAGAATATTTACTTTTAATTTTTTCAAACATGGTATTTAGTTTTAAATTTTTCGAATATGGTATATACTTTTATAATTGGTAATTGGTTGACTGTCGCGAATAATGAAGAGAAGAATAGTTGGGGTGGTCAGTCAAAAAGGAAGGCAAAAATAAATGATAATATTTAATTTTACATATGCCGACGTTTCATTCCACACTTTGTAACGGTCATTATTATTTATCTCTTAGTTCTTAGTCATTATTCTAACAATTTCATTTTATTTTATATTTATTTATTTTATTTTTTTATTTTATTTTTTATTACTTTTTTTTTTTACCATCACTACTTATGTTTCTCATACCTTGTTATCTGATTATTTTCTTAGCCCTGATGAAGGTCTGAACTTCAGGTCGAAACGTCGGCATATGTAAAAATAAATATTATCATTTATTTTTGCCTTCCTTTTTGACTGACCACCCCAACTATTCTTCTCTTCAGTATTTACTTTTAATTTTTCCAGATATGGGATTTATTTTTATTTTTTCTGATGTGGTATTTATGATTAATTATTGATTATAAATTAATTTAAATTACCAATTGTGAATTTTCATGTACATTTATAAAATATTCCATTTTTTTTTATTATTAGTATATAATACTTTTGAAATAAGGAATAATTAATTTTGTATCTAATATTGTTTAACATTAAGAAAGGTAGAATAAGATTTTTGGGTCTTATCAAAGGAACAACTACTTCCAGAAGGAATTAGAAGGAGAGGAGATTTCAGGATGAACCAGTAAGAAGATGTAGTTACTGGAGACTCTTCGAGACATAATAAAGGATCCGAGAATAGAATGGAGGGAAGAACGATTCTAAAGGAGACCAGATTTATTCACAGATTGACCTTACTAACAAGAGTTAGGTAGTAATTATTTCATAAACAATTTTTTTCATAATTTTCGCTAACTATTTAGTTTTGAATATAAATTAGTAATCTGATTTGTTTATTTTAAATAAATAACACTTCAAAGCATTGGTTAAATTTCATACTATGAACTGCCAACTGTTATAATACTGTATTCTGGATCATTGCAGCCAGGTAAACAATCACAAATTAGACCATCCTTTTTGCCCCATTTAGTCTTCTGGACCGACAGATTGCCATAATTGTTGTTAAGACAGAGTATTCCATTTATGTCACATCTCTCTTCTCTTCCTGCAATATTAAAACTATAAAAATTCATTTGTTATAATAATTAAGTTGATTCATAATAGTTATGAGTATAGTTTTTGAGGATATTATTTACTTTTAAGTGAGAAAATTATAAGATTCCCTTATTAGTAAAGATCAACTTGAAAGACAGTTTATCTTGGCCAAAACATTAATGATCCATTATTGTCCAGTTATTGAGGATTCTCTGAAATGCCTTTCCCCCTTGAGTAAATGAGTTGGGCTCAGCTTATAACTAATGTTAATCGGGCATTCTATCCTTTAGTTTTATTGAAATCTATAAGAAATAATTCTTAAAAATATTGTTAAATACTTTGATTCTCAGAGGCCTATTTAACAATATTTGAATGATGGGGAAACCTCAGGATTCCTTAAGTTGAAAATGAATTACTTTTATTATCTCCAATGGGCGCTGACTTATATTTTTTTAGATATTTATATATAAAAAATGAATAAGTTCATCACAGAAATATAGCTTATATTCATGCCATGTATAATCTATTGTTGAAGATTTTTTTATTCCTAAATAAACAAATAATCATGGATTCCTTACGTGAGTTTGGCATGAGGTGTGAGGTACAATTGCAAACTTTCAACTGTTCCTTTCGTCTGCATTCAACTACGCATGCACTATAGCTGTATTTGTAGGATGACTAAAAAATAAAAAAAATATTTTAAACTTTTGTTTTATAATATTGATGTTGTGAAGTAAAGTATGATTTATTTGGATTTCAGAAGCCAGTTTATATTATAGATCATAAAAAAGGATGAGCCACCAATGTACGAGGAAAAATTGTCTTTTCAATTTGAGTTGAACACACTGTTTAATAAGACTAATGGGTTAATACATGGAGACTTAAGAGATGCAAGGCTCTCATTTTATACCTGATAAAACTATTTATTGTTCAAATTACTGTCTAGGTTATCAATATTGATTTTGTCAAATTACTGTCTAGGTCAATATTGATTTTGTTAAAATCTTACATTCCCAGCTCTGAATTATTGGAAATTAGAAAGGCAAAGTATAAATAATCTAAACATATTATCATTATATTTATTTAGTGGGTACAATAAACACATTTTAGTCAGCTGAGTATATAGTCTGGTTTGAGTGGTACTGTACAAATTTAAACTGAGCAGTTAGCATTAAATGATCTAGCCTGCGGTGGGTGCCGCTTTTGGGATTTTTTAGTGAGCCAATTGCATCCCTACGTAGGCTGCTGGTCAGTATTGATTGGTTCTTTCATTAAAAACTAAGTATTTAGAAAATGTTATCACAGTACTATTATTGCTCTTATTAAAAAGAAAAAAGTAATGGATAAAATAAAGTGACATCCATCCATCACAGATTCTAATAAGATTTTGTAAATATTAAGTAAATAAGAAATATATATTTCCAATCTAATGAGTAGTTTCAGAACTATGACCATTTGAACATTTGAGATATTTGAAGTATATAAGGCAATTTGAGTTCAAAATTCACTTGACTTTATTTGGACTTTCCAATATAAAATAAATTCCTATGTATCTTTTTAACATGAGCTTTCAAAATGTATTCATTTGTCTTACATTTTGTACAAAATCAAATGATACCATAAGTATTAGTATAATAATTTTCCATTATGGATAAAATAATTCTTAAACATAAAAATTAATATTTTTCAAGGTTGTGATACAGATATCGAGAAATATCTGCAGCTAAAATCTTTCTCTAAATATCCTAATACCACTATTCATTATTAAAAAAAGGCTTGAACTTCTCTATCAAATGAGAAAATAATATTGGTAGGCTTTTAAGTTTAGGTAAAAAGTCTTATAACAATTTAAATCTAATACAGTAAAATAAAATAGATAAGATATATACAAGTAAATATGTCTTAAATCTGATATATGATACTGACTTCAAAATATTCAAATAATTTATTATAGCCATATATTACTGAAAAAACCATGAAAGTCTCTGTCATGCTGAAATAATATTGGTGGGCTTTTGAGTTTAAATTACAATTTAAATCTATATACTAAAATTAAATTTACATATTGCTTATAAAAGTAAACATGATCAAAATATATCTCAAGATTACTATAACCATGGTTATATATCACCAAGTATTACTGAAATGAATATACAATCTTCTTTCTAATGATAAAATGATATGGAGTTATGAGTTTAGAGAGTTTTATTACAATTTAAATCTAATAAAAATAAATTAAATGAGAAAATTAAACAACTGATTACATGCAAAAGACTGATTATATGTAATTTATGTGAATTGCTCATTACTTTCAAGATCTGAAAATATGATTATCCAAATCCAAGTTTTACACATTAAGACTAAAATGTTATGTGCTGGCTAATTCTCCAGTCACCCACTGTGTTTGTGTATTCTAATATCACAATGTGGAGTTCCTAGCCAATGCTAAGAATCAGCCAGACAACGAATTTTTCCATAACAGAGTAGATAAATTAGTTTGTAATGGGGAATCATACATTGCATGCTATGGGTGCAGTGGTCGAATGGGCTAACACATTGTGCACAGCACCAGCATTGCCCGGCAACCTGAAATATGAAAAATGATATAAAAATAGTCATGAGTTCGCGTCCCGGTGCCAAGGTGTCTTTTAAATCCCCGCCCACACCCCCTGGCCCGGGAAAACCCCGTATAGCCTTAATGGCGAGGAAGGGAAGGACCCAAAAAAAAAAAAAAAAACATTGCATGCTATGGTGGTGAATATCCTAAAGAATCTGAGCTGCTAAAACTTTATTTGGAAGAATTTTTAGAAATATTTGATAAAAGAAAAAAACCTGTACCATTACAATCCATGAAGGGTTCAGTACTATTAAGGGAAAGCACTGTTTCTTGGTAAACGGCTGTGCAAGGAGTTGATCTGATTGAGATCATGCTCAACCACCAGGTTTTCCCCTTAAATAATTATTTAATTAAGGGTACCCACTTTATAAAGTTTTGGTACACCCCAGGAGGATCTCCCGACCCTAATGTAGTATTTGATCATGAAGAAGAAATAAAATTTGACAGTGGATGAATGATGACCAAATAAAATTACAAATTATGCTTCTTTCTCATCAACAAGTTGTTGATTTTAATTTATTATATGAATAAATCTATACAGCATTATGTTTCACTTCTAATGACCTTATATATGGTGTAGAATCTGTCTACTTTGTTCAAGAAAAAACTGTTGCTTTAATTAAGTTGACCATACCATCACTTTAGAGTGCTGCAATGACCAATATACAAATTTGTAAATAATGATGAATTTGTGTTACCACGAAAAAGATTTTCTTCTAAAAGGAAGTTGGTCCTTTCTTGCAAAAGTAATGGAAAAAAATGGGCAATGGAATCGAGAACACAATTAAATGATCTTTTACAAAGGAAAATTTCCAAAATACAAGTTAAATAGAAATGCTGTACAAATTTATACCTATAGTAATAACCTTTTTTTCAAAAATAAAATGTTTCTTTTTGAGTGATTTTGAAATATAATAGAAAAACTGCAGGCATTCAGTTCTGTAATATTGGTTTTATATTAATATTTAAATTTGTATATTGGTCATTGCAGATCTGTAAACTGAAGGCATTGCAGAACTATAAATTAGAAATTTTAATAAATATATAAAACTAGAAAATAAATAAAATAGATATTTTAAGAGGAAGTGGCTTTTTGATGAGCTGTATTAAGTACTGATTATTTTTTGCAGGTCCCGACCTGGCCACCTTCCTTATATGATCTTAGAAATTTAGATAGAAAAATTATTATTAATTAGTGAGGCCTTGTAAACAAATCATATGATAAAAATAATTTGTAAGCACTAAATTTACTTCACTTTTTTAAATTTTAAATACTTCTGCTATTCTAGATATGTTATACCTGTTAAACATTAATGGTAATATTCTAGATTCGTAACCTAACCTCCAAATAATTTTCATCAGGAAATCGACATTTTCTTTGATGAACTGAAAGATCTCGCACATCAGGACCATTTTCTATATCGATAATTGATATTCGGTACTGTTTGGCTGTGTTCAATGAAGCAATTAGAATATCAGTGGTCATTGTATTGTAGAAGGGAACATCTGCATCTGAGTGTAAATATACCTGAAGAAATATTTATTATATGATATCAAATCTTTTATGCTTTATTGAGACAAATCAATCAAATCTTACCTTACAAGAAATGTTTAGTTCTAAAGACAAAGATCCAAGAGGTGTCTTTCTATTTGATATCATATTTATAAATGGGAGATTGTTTTTTTTCCTGATCCTAAACAAACAAATATAGTAATTTTGTTATTAGGTGAGGCCACAATGATCAAATGATCTCACATAGTTAACTGAACCGGAAAAACTGTTCGTTTATGGGCCCTTTAAAAACAGCTTCAGGAAACATTATTTAAATAATATACAGGGTGTCCCGTAATTAGAGGAAAATTTTTATAGAAGTAATAGCAGATCTCAAGAGCTACAAAAAAGTCCATATAAACAATGGATCAATTTTTAGCAGAATAGTAGAAAATCCAAGATTAGTGTTTTTTAGAGTCTTTTTTTTTTTGCATAATAGGAAGCAATTACTGAAGAAATGTTTAATTTAAGTAATGTACAATTGCTTCGCTGTAAACGAGACAAATTTATTTCCAATGAAAATAGAGTTTGTCATTATTAAAACCATTGACAGAGGACTTTTGAGCAGCTAAACTAAGCTAAGTTCTGTTTTTAAAGTAAAACTCATAAACTATTCATTTTTTTTTTTCCATTATCATCAAACTATACTGCAGATACCCCAATTTTAGAAAAGCTTCGTCGTTTAATTCGATTTAAGTCCATATTAATTAATTTTTGGTTTATTAGGGAAAAACTTGAAATTCACATCAAGTTGTGTAAAAAAATAATTTATATTTAATGTTATGTAAAAAAAAAATAATAAACAGGCGATGATCTAGTAGTTTTATGCCCTTAATAAACCAATACAAACAAAAAATTATGTGATGTAGAGATGGTTGACCGTTGATATAATATGAGAAGTAGTTAGTCGGGGGTGCAGTCAAATAAATACCAAATTAAAATATAGTAATTATTTTAATTTTTGGCGATGTTTCGATCCACTTTGCAGGTTTGAAACACTTTTTGAGTGTTTCAACTGCCTCCCGCAGTGCTACATCCTACGCCCTGAAGAGGACCTGCAAAGTGGGTCGAAACGTCGGCAAAAATTAAAATAATTACTATATTTTAATTTAGTATTTATTTGACCGCACCCCCGACTAACTCCTCAAAAAATTAGGTGATTTTATATCCTCTCATAACTATGTTTTCAGCAAAAATGACTACAATTAATGTTTGCAAATCTTTTATATCTTGTTTTTCATCATCTAGGATGTATTATAATTTATAATAAACATAATTGCCTAAATCCACTTTTTATATATAATATTTTTTTTAAATAATGGTTTTTCAAATCTTTTCAGGTAAAGAGGTTATGAATTTTCACCCACCTATATTATTAGAATTGAGGGAATTTATATGTTACAAACTAAATATTCCTGATCCTAATATTTACATTTTTATGAAAATCATTGAAATAATCAGCAGGTTTCTTTATTTTAAATGTAAACTTTAGGGTTAGAAATACTTATTCTGTCACTTATAAATATGGACCAATTCCTATAATAGGGAACCTGGGCAAAAAACAGTTTCATAACCACTTTGCCTAAAAGTATTTGAAAAATCATTAGTTGTAAAAAAAAAAAAATTATAAATGAAAAAAATTTAGGTAATTATGTCTATTATAATACATTCATAATAATGGAAAACAAGAAATAAATCCTTGCAACAATAAATTGTAGTAATTTTTGCTGAAAACACGGATAATTTTACTTGACAGGATAAAAAATCACATCATTTTTTTTACACAACTTGATGTGAATTTCAAGTTTTTTCCCAATGAATTTATCTTATTAAACAAAGAAGTTTTTCTTAAAGTGGGATATCTGTAGTATAGTTGGATGATGATAAAAAAAATTACAAATAATTTATGATTTTTTAAAAACAGAACTTGCTACAGTTTAGCAACTCAAAAGTCCGCTATAAATGGTTTTAATAACAACAAATTCTATTTATCCTTTTGATGTAAATTTTATCTAGTTTGCAGTGAAGCTATTGTTAATTACATATTTCTTTAGTTGTCACTTCCTATTCAACATAAAACACGACTTATCTAAAAATACAAAAATTTGGATTTCCTTCTTCCCTACTGATTGGTTTTTGTAAATTGGCCCATTGTTTATAAGAAATTCGTTGTAGCTCTTAAGGTCTGCAATCACTCCTATAAACATTTCACTTCACTTACAGGACACCCTGCATATAGATACATAGATAGATAGAAAGTAATCTTTATTCTGGGACGAGGTCCCTTATGAATAACAGTTATGAACAAAAAAATAAAAACCACATCTGACCATAAATTACAATAATCAATATTAAAGAAAATATACAATATCTCAGTAAAAGTATATTAAAAGAAGTACTAATAACACCATTTTGAAAAAAAAAAACATTATTTAAATGGAAAAACAAAACAAAATAATATAAACATGGACTGATTTATAAAATTGAAACTCAATCAGTTTTAATAACGATTCACCTCAGTCAAAATCTTTTTCGCAATATTTCTTTCATTGTATAACGTCATTTTGGGATGTAAGAAGGAATTGGTAGAAATGATATTTAAATGAGGACAAGGAAGAGGCATGGCGGATATCAGATGGCAAGGAATTCCAAAAGGCAGTGGATCAGGCAATAAAGGAATATTCAAATGTCTTAGTTCTATGGGAAGGGATATAAAGGTCGGAAACACGGGATCTTGTTTTCTGGGAGTGGATAACGGGTTTGAACTGTAGGAGACTGTAGATGTAGGAAGGGTGTCGGGTGTTGATCGTTTGGAATAGGAAAGATCCAAGGAAATATTGTCTGCGTAAAGAAGGGAAGAGCCACTTTAACTCATCGTAAAGGTGGGACACATGAGACTGCCTCGATGTACCGAAGACAAATCTTAAGCAGGTATTCATGTAGGTATACATGTCATATATATGATATATGTTGACTATGTACCATATTCCTGAGAACTTTTGAAGTATTTCTACAACAAAAACAACTAAATAAGAATTATTTTAACAGATCCTTTGCTATGTTTAACCATAATGAACATAAACTATAGTAACCAATATTATATCAGTATAAGTTAATATTTATAAGTTATTTTTTCTCTCTAGGATGATAAAAAAGTATTCTGAGGAAGGAAGATAATATAGATAGATGAATTAAGGGATTTAAGGAGCCATTAGAAAGGAGCTACTTCGGTTCGGATGAAATTCAGAGAGCCATTGAGATTTATTTTAATGAAGACGGTTATATATTCTTGAAAATTTAGTAAGGTTGGCCAAAATAGTAAGGCTGGCCAAAATGTGGAAGAAGGGTGAAGAAATGTTTCTCCATCTTTTAAATCTGGTATACCACAACATAAGGATACTATAAAAATGGAAGATTATCACGGTTTTATCTCTTTACAAATGAGGTATTATAGAAAATGAAACAATCATCGAGATATATCCTTTTCAGGGTGTCGACCAAACTCTGCTCAAGAGTTATCAACTGCCAGAGCAGTATGGGTTCAGAAACTTGAGGACACTGGACATATCTTCACTTTGAGGCGGTTAGAAAAATGTTCATCGAGAAAGAGAAAAACCTTTATACACCTGGAAGAAGGCTTAGAAAGTTTTATACAGAGAAAACAAAATCTATGAATGTAGACAGGCAAGCTTATCAAGTAATCAGAATCTTTAATTTGAAAGGAGTAGTTTCAGGTGTTAAGGTGTCTGGTTGAATGAAAGAATATGCCCATGAGGATGTGTGACAAAGGCTAGAAGAAATTTGAAGAATGTTACTCTTGATCGAAAAAAGAGATTTCCTATGAAAGTATATGAAAAGGTCCAAGAGGTCAATGTTTCTCCCATTTTTTCATCCTCCTTGAAGTCATGGACCCCGGAAAGATAGGATTGACAAACCACTAAAAGATCACACATCCAAGTAAAGCATGTATAAACTAACCTGGAAAGGGAAAAATGAGGTCTTGAAACCTTCTCAAGATAAATGGGAACAGAGAGAGGAACAAGAGGAAGTCTTCTGATTGCTTCATAGGAAAGGTTGTTTTTAAATTATCAATATACTCATAGATATCTGATTTTTATAAATGTTGTGGTTACTGTTAATTGCATGTAAATTAGATAAAGTTCCTAAACTGATAATAATACTTATTTCCCAAAAGTTCATAAAATGTAACAACAGTAAGAAAAAAGTAAATATATATAAAAAAACTTTGAACTATTCAAATTCAAGATATTAAGTTGTATATTACTAAATTAAAATATATTATAATTATCGGTGTGATGTTATTTTTAGGACACACCCCGTCTTATATGTCCTAAGTACTAAATAAATAAATAAAACAAAATTATCTAATAATTTCTGGCAAACAAATTGTTGAAGTGTGCAATTTAAGAGATATGGGGGAAGGGAAAATATGTGCCTAGGGGTGTATGACCCACAGACTACATCATTAGAGCATATAAAGTTTTTTTTTGTTTTTGCCTATAAAAAAAAAAACTTTGCTAAAGTGTATTCAAATGACCTTTCGTTCTCCATGGAAAGAGTAAAACATTTTCCAATTTCAGTTTCTGTTGATTTGAAATGTTCACAGCAATTAAATTCCACTCCCCTCCAGGCACATCTTATAAAAGTATCCTGACATGGATTCCTCACCTGTCCATATATGTAGGCATGATTAAAAAAAAATATATTTCATTAGAATAGAAAAAAAATTCTAGAAATTACAGTAAATTAAGTGAATAATAAATTAATTTTTTTTTTTAACACTTTATTGAGAAATATTACAATTTGTCACAGATTAAATTAATAAATATTAAAATATCTATATATATAAAAACATGTTTTATTTACTTTCATCTACTTATATATGTATATATATATATATATATATATATATATATATATATATATATATACAGTAAGGAAACGTACTGCGCTCGTGAAAAATTTCTAATGTAGTTTTTAACGGAAAAAGACATTTTAAGACCCCCCCCCCCAAGTTCAAATAACTAAATCCCACAAAATGTGGTATGAAACATAAATTTCGTATTTGAGATAGGTATTTGCCTGGTATGTTATAAAATTTTTTTCTCAAAATCGACTAACCTGAAGTGGCACTTTATTTTGTAGATTTACATATTTTCATGATTTTATCAAACGATTTTGATATAACTCGTTATATCAATGTACCAATAGATGACCTTTGATTTCAGTTAGGTCATATCCTCATTGAAATAGATGGGCAGGGTATAAATGTCGAATTTTCAAAACGTCTTCTTCTAAGTACTTTTTGGTTTATTATTTTCAATAATCAACCATTGTGATCGACCAAAAAATTCAAAAACTTAACCCCTTCTCAACATTTGAGGTTTCACATTTCAGGACGCGTAGAATTCGAAAAACGAATACAAATTTTTTTGTCCGTCCGCCATCCGCGCATTTTCTCCGAAACTACTGGACCGATTTTTTTTTTCAAATTTTGATATAAAATCAGAGGTCCCCCGAGCACTAGCGGATCCAGGATTTAATTTTGAGAGGGGGGGGCTTCAGCCTGAAACCTTTTTTTTTTCATAAAAATAACCATAATTACTTTGGAAAAACAGAAAGAAACTAACTACCTATATGAAATGGTGTTTAAGTTATTCCTTAAGTGCTTTTAAATGTAATTACACGAACTATAATACTTTAAGAGGTATTTTAAAAAAAATTTTTCCCATAAAACATGGTTATATTTTTCCAATTTGGGGGGGGGGCTTCAGCCCGAAAGTCCCCCCGTAGATCCGCCCGTGCCCCCGAGGATGATCCTCCTTCATCGACATTACTCTCCGCCTTTAACTTTCAAAATGGCGGCCAAAAAACCTGCGTTGCTATAGACTGTAGCTCCTAAACGAATATACAGATTTCAATGAAACTTCGCTAAAGTCATTTTCTCGATGCCCTTTAAATTTATCTATATAACATACATACATCTATATAACACACTTCAACGAAAAGAAGCTGGAAAAAAAGTTACGAGGGATGATAAAATTAAATTCCGAATAACTCGAAAAGTTTTTACTTTTTTGTTGATATTGTAATAGTTTTGTAAAAGTTTACGAAATTTTCTAAAAAACAAAAAGAAAATCGTTAAAATCAGACAATTAGGAGCAAAGATATGGTCTCCGGTTTTTTTTATATGTTCTACTCCAAATGTTATATCCTTGGTTTGGTTTTTAAATTTTGAATGTGTTATGAACTAACGCTATTTTTTTTTTTTTTTTTTAGCATATTACTAATGATTAAACAAAACAGTTTAATCCAATAATTGGAATCACCTTTTGTTTTTTTTTTCTTTGTAACTCGGAAGGTAATGTTACTTTAGATGTATAATTGTTTGGAAATAATAAACCATTGTGAAATAATTTGCAGTGTTTTTTAATTTGGTTTATATGAAATAATTAACTGTCTATATTTGCAAGGATTACTAAAAATGATGCAATATGAACTATGAAAGAATTTAAAATTAATTAAATATAAAAAAAGGAAAAATGTTCTTCCAGGTTGAACACGAATTTTCGAAAAAAATGTGTCAAAATATGTAACCGGCGTGATAGTCAATGGCCAGTTTACAGCATGAACAATTTGAAATATTTATATTATTTAAAGTGTTATAAGATTTACCATGTCTGATAGATCACTAAAATTAGCTCTTGGACAGTCCAAATCTCCAGAGAGGCAAAATTCTTTGATATAGTAAGCAGTTCCTTTGAAATACGTAATTTCCTTTAACACTTCATCTAAGTTACAGTCGTGGTCATCTCCGAACAATCTGCAAAATTCAAAACTTGCGACAAAATGTTTATGATATTATGCTATTGTATATGTTAAGCAATAAAATCAAGACATCTTCCATGAAATGTATAATTTTTTTCAAATTGTCCCAATGAAATAAAATAAATTATTATACAATTTTGTTTATATTTGTTTTCCCTAATCAATGTTTTTCTTCAAATATATCAGATATTTGATAATTCAAATCAGATAATTTAAATAAGGGCTTCATTCATTCCACGGGCGGATCTACGGGGGGGGGGGGGGCTTTCGGGCTGAAGCTCCTCCCAAAATGGAAAAATATAACCATGTTTTATGGGAAAAGAAAATTAAAAAATACCTCTTAAAGTATTATTGTTCGTGTAATTACATTTAAAAGTACTTAAGGAATAACTTAAACACCATTTCATATAGGTAGTTAGTTTCTTTCTGTTTTTCCAAAGTAATTATCATTATCTTTATGAAAAAAAAGGTTTCGGGCTGAAGCCCCCCCCAAAATTAAATCCTGGATCCGCTCGTGATTCATTCTGTGATTGAATCATATTTTCAGATGAGTTGCAATTTAATGGTTTTTGGTTCGGTAGTTGTAAAAAGTGTGGCGAAATAATGAATGGATGAAAATGAAAATTAAAGTTCATCATCGAACATAAAGGAGGCTACATTATGTTCTGGGGGTGCATCAGTGCAAAATGAGTAGTTAAGTTGCATGTATTTCAGCCGTAGAGGTCGGTACTTAAGAAATATTGGGGAGCCTAGGTTTAGTCAGTGGTGCAGAATTTTTTTTATCACATTATTAATGTCGGTCAAAATACTACTAAAAACAGTCCAATCATTCCAAAAATTCGGACAAAAAAGTTATAAAATATAAGAAACTTTATTTGTGAATAATCAAAAATTAAATTCTTTTCTCTTGGCTTTGTCCATGATTATATAAAAGATTACTAAATTCCCTACAAAAGGAAAACAATCCACCGAAATTGGAGAATTATTAGCAACAATACAGTTTATTGAAATTTATAAACATGTTAGTTTTGTCTTGTTTCCTTTGACAATTATATTTAGCGAGAAAGAAACAATTGATTTCTCCATCTTATCATACGTTGCATTATTTTATTTTCTTATTAGTTTGTCATTTAATCATTGAATAATAAATTGAGCGAATTTTTCACGAGAAATGTGATAAAATCTCGTAAAAAATAGAAGGGTGCACATAAATGAATCATAATATGCAAGGATATGCTGATATATATAATTATCTTTGAATATAAAATAAAATTTCAATAATAGGAACATAAGGCGTTGTAAAATGCTTGCGTATTTTACTTCTAGGCTATAGCTTAGCCCTTTAATCGACTTTTTTTTTATTGATTTTATTTTACATATTTTATTCATTCATGTAGATTAATTGTTATTTATTTCGATTTCATTTTAGTTCTACGAAATATTGGGTGGAAGGAGCGAAACGATGGCATCTCTCTATTTTTATTGGAGGGGGAGGGAGTGATAGTTGCCCTCCCTCTTCCTAAGTCTGCACCTATGCAGTGTACCCATAAAATTCAGCCCATTTTTCAATACCAAACATCGCTGGTTGGATATAAAGAATTATATTTATTTCGTGAAAAATAAGTAAAAATGTAAGAGTGTATCGATTCGCAAAATTTACAATTTTTTTTAATCTCATATAATTGTAAAGAAAATTTAATTCAAGTATATTAATTTTGTATAGAAGAAAAATAAAGAGATTAGGGAATTGCTTATAATCAAAATAATTTTGAAAATTATTGTATTTAAACATGAAAGCTAGATAGTAACATTTTTTATCAATTCATTAATTTGAATATGTTAAAGCATGTATTCACTGTTAAAAATCCAGGATGCAAAAGTTGTTATTTAATTCTATTTTTCTTTAAAATAATCAGAAATATAGTATTTTATCAATTTGAAAATATCTAAAATATAACTTATTCTACTCAAACTGATACTATTTAAATGCTTGAGTCCTAATAATCAATTAAATAAGAGATGATTAAATTATGACAGCAGTATTGAGTTTTGGAGCCAATTCCTGTTGGAAGCCACCATATTTTTTATAGTATCTTTTGTTATAGCCCAGTTCTCTGTTTTTAATTATTATTTTAGACTGAATGTTAATGATGTTAGTCGTTTAGTTTTGTTTAAATACATCCAGGATTACAATCATAATGGTGAGAAACTATTGCTGTTATGAGAATATTTAGTGAATCATTATTTATTCATTTATTTTTTCTGGAATCACAGATTTTTTTATTCATTGATGTAGGGAAGTCCAGAATAGTGATTTAAATATGTATTTACATGTATTGTAGTAAATGACAAGACTTCTTAATTTCAATGCAGAATGATTTAGTTCTCCTTCTAGGTATAAAAAAAAAAAAAAATAAAAAAAAAAATAGAGCCTGTTGCTGAATTCTCTGTTTTTTTTAAAAATATTATATTTTTTTAGGTTTGGTATCTCATACTAGGTTCTATTTTTACTTTTACTTTTAAAAACTATTTATTATTGGAAAACAATATGTTTCTGTTTTATTTTTTAATACTTTACTTTTTTTTTTATTATTGTTGGTAGATATAGTAATGTACACATTACACATTATATCATATTTAACATAAGGCCACCACTGATTTAATGTTTTTTATTAAAATGATTATGTTTCTTTCTCATCAAAGTCATGTTTATAACAAAAAAATATTGATTATTATTTGTAACTATGATACATAATTGTTTTGATTGTAATAATGGATTATTATACATGCTTGTGTAGTTATCCATTATGGCAAACACTCATATTGTCTAACAGGTTGGGAAGGGTTTTAAATAAATAAATAAGTTTTTACCATAAGGTATTACATCTCATCTTGTTAACTATTTCTCTTGCCATCACTGTTGTATGCTATGTTGTCATGTTCAAACTAGATATTTAATGGAAGGAGAGAAAGATGATTTCTAATATCCACCGAGATACCAATCAGGACAAGGTATGACAAAATTGTATTTCATTGAAACATATTTTTCTTATATATAACAACTTTATACACGAGACTATGGCGACTGAGTATGTTAAAGTATTATTTGAACAGATTCCAAACCAGCTATTTATTGGCTTTATTTTAAAATGGAACTATGGCATTAATCTGAATCTTCATACTTTGGCCAGAATGGTTTGGTAACCGATTGCATATGTCTACCTTCTTGGCATAGTTGGTGCATATAAGGAAATTAAACCTTAAAAAAACAAAAATATTGGCAACTGTGTTCCAAAGGCACCAAATTGCACTATATTTCTTTAATGAAAACTTAGAAAGTTAGAAAGGTGATCTCACTTACAATAATTTAAAACCGCTTGTGAATAAATTCATGTTTATCTAAATCAATAAACTAGTTGAGTTCCTATCCTTATAATCATGCATTTGAGATTGATTAATTAAAATATTACTTTTCTACTTATCTCAAAACTGTCCAGTATTAGTTATGGTTCACTTTCTCATATTGAGATGCTAAAGGAAATCAAAATGCATTAGATATTGCAGAAAAGTATAAATTTTAGGGATAGCTTAGTTTGATTTCCCAATTGGTGCTGAGGAAAGGCTTTGTACTAAAAACAAAATTTAAAGAAATTATCTAACACTTATGATGTACTTGACAGAAGGTGATTTATTAGGTTTTGTCTTGCAAACATTCATGTAGAATTTATTACGAATAAATTAATGTTTATTCAAATTGATAAGTTATTCTTAGCAGAGAGAAATTAATTTTAAGGATAACTTGTTTTGGTATTTCATTTGGATAAGGCTATTTAGTCGAACCAATAAAATAGTATACGTTTCATGATCTATGGGATCTTGAGTACTATTGATATTAAGTTTTTTTAGATAGAAATTTGGAAATTTTTACTAAAACCTTTTTAATAAAAAGTAAATAGGTGTTCAAAGGGTGTGCCAATATGATCCTTGTATGGCATTACAGAGACTGAGCTGCACTTGTTAATTCTGCTCTTCACTTCTGTTGGAACCAAGCTACGGAGCAGTTAATTGTATAGTAAATTAAACATTTATTCATACTTGATGATTCATTATCATGAAAGGGGAGAGGTGGGAGAAATGGGCTTATAATATTTAACTTTATTTTTTAAAGCTTTTTTTTTATGATCCATATTATTAAGTTTTAGATAGAATAAATTATTGTAGATAGGTGGCCGAGCGGGCTAACGTATGTGGTAACCTGATGACAGAAGTTATAAATAATAAAAATAGTTATGAGCTTGCGTCCGGAGGTTTTAACTCTAACATTAATCTCCCCTCCCCTCACCCCCTGGCCTGGGGAAATCACGTATAGCCTAAAAGGCGAGAAAGAGAACAAAAAAAAAATAATAATAATTAATTAGTGTGAGGGATTATTTTAGAGAGAATCATGGGTTGAAAAAATGGAATGTTCTGATGGAAAACCACTTTCTACAGCTTTTGAAATAAATGGCTTTGGATTCATCTAAGGCAAATTAATTATTCTTGGGTTCGTTAAACTAAAAATATATTAAATCACTAATTTACTACTATAATATAACTTAGATGAATTTTTTCTTGTGAAATCAAAACACTATGCACTTATTGTTCCAATTTTTGACCTTTGAGAATTTTTTTTTGTGTTATACTAGATAGAGTTTTGTATTGATGTGTTATCAAAGTTGTGTTATGTACTTAAAAGTTTAGCTCCATAAAAAATGTACTTTGTGACTTTTTGCAAAAAAATGAGATAAAAAATTAAAATTGATCCTGGAAATGAAATAAAAAGTAAATACTTAGGAATCATTTTCTTGTTAGAATTATATGGTTTTCAAGATATACGAAAAAGTTTCGTTAACTGCAACAACCCATAATAATTACACCATTTTACAACACACTAATAGAGACTACAAGTAATTTTTATTCACAATTTTACAACCAAAAAAATTAATTTAAAATAAT